AAGTTTTACTGAGCTCTGCCCACCAGAGCTCAGTAAAACTTTAATCCACTTGACTGCTGATGGGTGGGGCTGGGTTCCCTCCCTGTTGGTTGTTTGGCCTGAGGAGACCCAACACTGAAGCCTACCTGGGCTCTTTGGTGGGGCTAATGGTGGACTCTGGGAGGGCTCACGCCAAGGAGTACTTCCCAGAACTTCTGCTGCCAGTGTCCTTGTCCCCAGGGTGAGCCACAGCCACCGCCCACCTCTGCAGGAGACCCTCCAACACTAGCAGGTAGGTCTGGTTCAGTCTCCCCTGGGGTCACTGCTCCTTCCCCTGGGTCCCAATGTGCACACTGCTTTGTGTGGGCCCTCCAAGAGTGGAGTCTCTTTTTCCCCGAGTCCTGTCGAAGTCCTGCAATCAAATCCCACTAGCCTTCAAAGTCTGATTCTCTAGAAGTTCCTCCTCCCATTTCCAGACCCCCAGGTTGGGAACCTGACGTGGGGCTCAGAACCTTCACTCCAGTGGGTGGACTTCTGTGGTATAAGTGTTCTCCAGTCTGTGAGTCACCCACCCAGCAGTTATGGGATTTGTTTTTACTGTGATTGTGCCCCTCCTACCATCTCATTGTGGCTTCTCCTTTTTTCTTTGGATGTGGGGTATCTTTTTCGGTGAGTTCCAGTGTCTTCCTGTCGATGATTGTCCAGCAGCTAGTTGTGATTCTCGTGTTCTCTCAAGAGGGAGTGAGCACGTCCTTCTACTCTGCCATCTTGGTTCCTAATCACCTTGTCTACAGATGTTATGGGCCCTGCCCATGCTCTTACATCTCAAAAATAGTAGATGAACACTTTATTACCATTTCAAAATGTTAATGTTTTAAGATGAATTAAAATATCACTTTGTTAGTGTTTTGTAGTTAAAAGAATAAAATCCATGGTTATTGGTTCTAATGATGTTAGCTACCTTTATTTAATACTTGTGTGCTAAGCATTTTATATACATTATCTCACATACATTCACATTTTACAGATGAGGAGACAGACCAAGACCAGTTTAAATAACTTGCTGATGGTTATAAAGCTAGTAGGTTGTAGGGCTGGGATTGAGACCCTACTGACTTACTGCTACTCCGCTGCATAATACAGTTTTCTTAAAGTGCTGAATGTTTGGTGGCAAAATAATAGGTATTAAAACCCATCAGAAGAACCCTTTACCAAATAGGAACATGACCAGAATTAATGGATTTGACTGTATGTATCATTTTGTTCATTACAGATTAAAAATCCTGGAGATGGAGTGATTGCTCCTTTGCCAACGTATTCATACTGTAAACAAATTAGTGCTCAGGAGTTTGATGAACAAAAAGTTTCTACCTCTCAAGCTGCAGTTGCAGAACTTTTAGAGAATATTATTAAAAATAAGAGTTTGCCTGTGAAGGAGAAAAGGAAAAAACTAAAACAGGTAAGGGAATGAACAAGTTTCAATCATAAATATTTTCTAATATGCTATTGCTGATTGTTATTTAATGACATTTAGAATCTAATTTATCATTTTAATATTTTGAATTTTAAATATCATATATGTAGGCTATGTATGACTACCTGCCTGGTTTTACTCTGTCCTGAAGTTTTCATAATAACCATAATAACAGATACTCTCCTTTACTTCCAGTGTTTTATATTTAAAGCATGCATTACCCTGGGAAAATAATTATAAACTTAGGACTATAATATGTAACTTTTAGTGACTCATCATTACCATTTAGAATTTTTAGCTCTACATCAAAACCCTGTAGCCACATGATTCTGGCAAGTCCAATTCCTGGTCTGAGATACTCAAAGAAGTATGAAATATACTAACTAGATCCTTGTGACCTTCATAGGCTTTACCAATGAGAAGGAAGAACATCTGGAATTTAGGAGAATTAACAGCAGAAGAGAATCCTAGATGTTAATGCTAACTGGAATCTAAGAAATATTACAGGGTACCTTTCATGTGTGAGAAAGTGGAGGGAGAAGCAAGAATAAAGTGAAAGGATACTGATCTCTGTAATACATCTTTGAGAAAGGCATTGAATCCTTATAAAATGTTGACCAGTGGCTTCAGCTCAGGTAATAATGTTAAATACCCTCTAATTCCTCACCTCATTTTTAAGTTTCAGAAGGAATATCCCTTGATATATCAGAAAAGATTTCCAACCTCTGAAAGTGAAGCAGCACTTTTTGGTGACAAACCTACAATCAAGCAACCAATGCTAATTTTAAGAAAACCAAAGTTTCGTAGTTTAAGATACTAATTGAATTGAAAATCATGTAATACTTGTGGAACTTTGGTAAGTGAAGCCATATCTAAGAATTCAGCTACTAAAAAGGAAGTCTATTTATCAATAAGGTTTTTCTAAATAGAACATTATGTAAGGAAGTGCCAAAATAGTTTTTATCAATGTGAAACTGCTGAGAAACTAGTGAATCTCAATGGAGAGCAAGTGACAATAGGTGATACCAAATATTTTAATCAGAAATAATCTTTTTTTTTTATACAACTATCTGGAAAAGCTATCATGATGTGTGCTAAAGTTTCATTTACTTGAATTTTGAAAAATGATGTTTGTTCTTCAAGATTAAGCTGTAATTCTTTAAAACAAAAAAACAAAAAAACAACTTATCTGCATGTGCTTATGGATGTTAGCTTAAAGAACTAGTTGTTTAGGATTACTTTTGTTTCTAAGTGTAAGAATGTGAAGAATATTTGAAAATTCAATGAATTAATTTTCAACTGCTAAATATTGCACTCATATGTTCTTTTGCTACTTTTTATCTATTTATATATGTATGTGTTTTTAAAATATGAATATATATTATAAGACTTTGGTTTGCCTTAAACATTTACCCTAACTGCTTCAGTCATTCATTTTTTCAATAAATATCTTTTGCATTCTTATCTTCATGAATCTACTAGAATATAAAGATATGAAAGAAGTATAAGGCAATCACATATTCATTTAAAAGATATTTATTTAGCAACTACTATGTGCCTTTCATTCTTCAAGATGTGGAGAGAAAATGATGAATAAACCAGAAAGCCTCTTCCCTAAAGTATTTGCTTCCTAATCAAGGGAGATATACCTACCAGATACTTAAAAAAACAATACACCCCCTGAAATCAAGTCATGAGGATTCATTCAACTGAAGACTAGCCTTTTTAATTATGCAACAATTTCCTAAGCTAGTGTTTTCAAATTGTTGCATATTAGAATCACCTGGAGAGTTTTAAAATAATACATGCTCAGGCCCTACCTTATACTGATTAAATCAAAATTTTAAGGGATGGCATATAGGCCTCAGTATTTTTTAAACCCTCTAGGTGATTCCAATATTCAGCCAGCTTTGAGAATCAGTGCCCTAAATACTTTTTATAAATAAAATGTCAAGCTGGTTTCACACTGGCTTTATTATTTCATTGGAAGAAAATGCCAAGTATAAATCCCTTTCATCTTAATAGAAGGTTCTACAAATTTCTGCTTGACTAACTGCGTACAAACTTGAAGCAGCTTTTCTTCCACATTTTCCTGAAGATTATTTAATATCTCTTTGGTAAGTGTAAAGATATACATAATTCCTGGGATGTAATAGACACTTATTGTTCAATGACTGTTTTGATTTTTCAGTGTAATTTTGTACTGTAAAATGACAATGTTCCATTTGAAATTAATATTTTTATTAAAAATATGGACAGAAAATAACTATATCTTTTGCCCAGAAACCTTAGCTATAAAAATATTGAAGTGAATTACAATTCTTCCCAAGGTGTTTGTATACTAAAAGTTTTCCTGTTTAAAGGTATGTAATAATGTGAATTATGTTGCATATTGAGATAAAAACTATTGTGGGTTTTATAACAATTTAATTTTGTATTTATTGATGGATATTAAATATATAAATATTATAAAGACATATAAATTTTGATCTCCCTTAATGTGCATGCAATTGAGGTTACAAAATACATGATGTAACAGTTTAATAATGTGAACTCTGAAGTCAGATTTGAATCCTACTGTGCTTTTTACTGTGTAACCTGAGACAGGTTATTTAACTTCTCTAAATCCCAGTTTTCTTATCTATACAATAAAGATTATAATAGTACCTGTTCCTTAGGATTGTTGTGAGTATTAAATAGAATAATTCGTGAGAAGTTTTTAGCACAATGTCTAGTATAGAATAGGCACTCTATTAAATGTTAGAAATTAATACTAGAAACACCTAGAATTATAACACTAGAAGAGATCTTAGCAAAAATACAGTCCTCTCAATTGCTTTGATCAGAAAGGAACCAAAACAAAATTGTGACCAACTGGTGAGTCTTATTAAACTATTTTTTAGTCATGAAACACAGCTTCTGATTGTACATACTGGTTGAAAATACCTGGTCTAATATAATGAGAAAATTTGATGAGGAAGGAAAGCATTAATATCGTCAGAAGCAATATCCTTGAATATGTGAAAGCATACAGGACCCATTACACAAATAGAAGGCTTATTAACCTTTGGCTGGAGCATGGACAGATACCGTTGTATCAGAAAAAAAGGGCAGAGTCTTTAATTTCAAATATTGATGGGTTGATTTGATGTTGAGTGCTTATAAAAAGTATCTTCTAATTGCTTTTGCCTTCTCAGGAAATAAGAATCAGAGTCAACCCTTGAGAGTAAAGCATGGTGGGGAAGATATTGCAAGTTTGAAGGGAGAGGGTGTGAAATAGTAAATCTGTGGCAATGCACAGGGAATTGTAGTTCTGGTCCCAGAAGTTATTGCCACCAACCATTCCCAACAGCTTCTGCTAATTGTTGTCGTTTAGTAATCCACTCTTCTCATATACTGTCTAGTTATCTAGCACTCAGTAGTGGAAAGTATCAATACAAGGAATTTCCTACTGGCTAGCTTCTGTCCTTGGAAAATGTAAATTCTGAGTTTCCTCATCCATAAAATATGAATAATAACATCTACCTAACTGGGTTGTTAAGATAATTTAAAGCAGCAATATATTTAAATCTTGACCTTAGCAAGCCCAAGCTCAATTTCTAAGTCCTTTCCTCTGATAATGAGTTTAATAAGATTTCTGCTGATTAAAACTCCTTCCCTTCCAAATCTCTGTCCTCATATCTCACAATATATTTTCTTTTCTATTCTATCAGTGGTGATATTTTTTACCCCATCTTTGGAAGAATTAAAAATAGATCCAGAATTTTATATCCTGGCAGCCTGTGTATCTCTCCCAAAGATATATCTCCTTTTGACTTTGAAGGTAAAGCACATATGTGTATATGTATATGCATGTGGTGTTATTGTTGAAATGAAACTTCTAGGAGAGAAAGGATTGCTGGTTTTAATATTAAACTCTAAATTTAAAGAAATAAAGTTAGTTCACTGGAATAAACTTAATAGTTCTAAATACAATAAAGTATAACAACTAAGAATCTTTTGTTATCTCAGAATTAGCTTTTGTATTAACTAAGAATCTTATTTTCTAAGAACTGGGGGAAAAGATGTACAGAGCAGCTGTTTTTAACTCTCCTGAAAACCTCTCAGAATGTGTACTGAGGGAACACAGAATGTATAAGACATTTGAAAGTAGTTTTGACTTTTTGCTCATTGTAAAAACAATTTTTATATCATCATTAGTTGGTCTCTAACTTATCCTTCCATAAGCAAGTAGAAAACCAAAGTATATGCAGCAACTGTTTCTAGGCATCGAACTACAGGTAATAAAAGACTGATTCCTGAGAAAAGGAAAACAAAGGAGGTAAGTCCTATGATTGTCCCCAGATTACTGCCTACAGGCAGTTGGCAGGCCACAGTGCAGGGAGGGGCAGCCAAAATAAAGCCCAGTGTCTCACTGCATTAAGGAGCTAGAGATCAGAGTTCAGGATGACTGAGAGAGATATTTAAAAAAAAGAAGAAGAAGAAAAGAAAAAAACCCTTCAGAGATCTGCAGTGGTCTAAAGGTTTTGTTGAGTACTAATTGGCATGGAGCACAGTGAAGTAAGTCAGTTGAGTACTAAAAAAAAAAAAAAAAACTAGCCAAGGAAAGAATGAGAACAGACTGGAAAGCAGTAAACCAAACAATCTCTGTACCTCATGGACCTGGGAATAATTCATATTCCCATCAGCCAAAATATAGAGAACTTCTAATACTTGGGACATTGGGTAGCATCTTCAGAAGAGTTGTGCTTCAGTAGTGAGGCCAAATTCGCCCTAGAATAAAAACTGCTATAAATTCACCCTAATAAATCTTAAAAACAGCCTGAAAATGTTCAAATTGCTCCTCAAGTAACTTCCTGTATGCCAGAACAAAGTTCAATACTTTAAAGAAATACAACAAAATCCAGCACTTAACAGTGTAAAACTCACAATGTCCAGCATCCAATCAAAAATTACCAGACATACAAAGAAACAGAAAAAAATATATAATCCATAACCAGGGGGAAAAGCGATCAATAGAAACATACCCAGAAGTGACAGATAATGAAATTAGAGACACTTTAACAGTTATTATAAACATTATAAATATATTCTAGGATATAAAGAAAATCAGGAATATAGTGATAGAAATGAAAGATAAAAAAAAAGATTCAAAGAGAAATTCTGGAGGTTAAAAATACAATACCCAAAATGAAAAATACATGGAATGAAATTAAGAGCCAATTAGACACAGCAGAAGATTCATGAACTTGAAAACAGCAATAGGAGCTACCCAAAATAAAGTACAAAGGAAACAAAACTGAAAAAGACAAAGAACAGAGTCTCAGTGATCTATGTGAAAATAACCGAGTAACATGTGGATTGGAGTCTATGAGAGAAGAAAATGAGAAATGAGAGAAGAAAGAAAAAGGGAGGGCATAAAAGTTATTGACCAAAAATAATGGCTGAAGTTTTTCTAAATGTGACAAAGACCATAAACCCACAGAAGCTCAAGTAACCCCCCCAAAAAAAACATAAATTTGCAACAAGGCACACATAATCAAGTTGCTGAAAACTAGTGATAAAGAGGAAGATCTTAAAAGCAGAGAAAAAGCAGTTTATACAGAGGAACAAAAATAAGAATTATAGACTTCTTTTAAAAAACTGCAAACCAGAAGACAAGTGATATTGTTTTAGATTTGTTTTCTTGGCTGAGAATTGGTGCCAATTCACCACTAATAAAAATTTTGGCAGGGACTGTCAGTACTCTACCAACCACCAGTGATAGTCTCCTCATTACAAGCCAGCCATTGATTGATCCAGATCCAAAATTCTATTTTAGTCAGCGTCCTAAGACTAGTCTTAGTTCTGCTTAAGGTCATGTTACCCATAATATTGAGACAAATGTTTGTGTACTGGATGGTACACTTAGGAGCAATACTTAAAGTGCTGCAGGGGATGGGGCAAAAGAAAAAGTTGAACTACCACAGAATTGTAACAGAGGCCTCAACTGATCCGGTGAACAGGCTGTGGAGCTGGGGTGGGCCTTCAGAATTGTCCACAATAGAGAAAAGGAGCTGGGCCTTTGTACCTTCATGTAAACCAGTCACTGAATATGCGCTGATTCGGGAGGAAGTGTAACCTTGGGTGAAGCAGTTCCCTTCAGCCAAGCACAGTTCCTAAAGAGGAGTGCAGCCAATATTCCTGACAGCTGGGAAATGAATGAGTGTGCACTGAGGGGTTCTATGGAGAACACCTCATATTCACTGCAAAGGATCCCTAGCATTAAAACGAACAAACTAGAAAAGGGATTGTGTTACTATGAGAGAGATTATGAGAATTGATGTTTGGGGATTATTTTTTACTTTATTATTTGTTGATTTATTAAAAAGTAATGTCTGTTTATTATAGGTGATTTGGAAATGAAAAAGTTTAAATCACCTATAATC